CAAAAATAAAGATTGCAAATGTACCTGACGCAAATGAGTGTAAAGAATCCATTAATCACCAAAAATCTGCGGAGATGGAAGATTTCGCTGGAACGTATAGCATTGGACAATGTTATCAAAATGGAATGGCCGTTGAAAAAGATGAACGAAAGTCTGAGGTACCTGGTTGCAACTTATTTGAATGGTATTTGGATGTTGATGAGAATGAGGTGATGAAGAAGGAAGCAAATAGTAATAGACGAGAAATAGATAATAAAGAGGAACAGGTAATCAATAAAATGAGTGGTGAAGTAGAAATAGACGAAATTGAAAGAAAGAATGTAAAGGTTAGTTCAGTAAACGATAATGAAATGGGTGATAAGAAATCTGAGGGCTCACTAAACAGAATTCTGAAGCAAACGATCCTGAACATTACCATAGAAACAGAGTAGATGCAGAAAAAGATAATTTTGTTAAAGCGACTGTTAATAACGACGATGAAACGGTCTTTGATCATGGAAAACTAATTAGGAGCAGTAATGGAATATTTGACGTATGCCGTGATGAAACTAACGTCGAAAAGGATAAAAGTAATGCATATAATAGTCACCAAAATGAACTGAACGTAGGGACAGATGCACTATTGGATGTAGTTACAAAAATGGATACAATTATAAAAGACTTGGTAGGATCGCTAACTGAGATGAAGTATGTCGATGGTGTGCAAATGAGAATACGGTGTAATTAAAAGGGTCAAAAGGAGCAATAGATTACATAATGAAAATGTACGGTGCAAATACCGTCACAAATATAAAATACACATGGGGGATAATTGTAAAAGTATAGCTGGTGACGAAAATGATCAACCATTGATTAGACAAATAGGCAGTATGTGGGACAAATTATCAGCTAGAAATGTATTTGATCGTGGAAAAGTATTGAAGTACTTACATGGTATGCCGGGCTCAGTATTGCTTAGGAATTTGATTGCTTCGCAGGTGCTGGAAACTTCGGAGCTGAAGTTCAAGGGGATCTAGCTCGTATTATGGTGAAGAAAAGTATGCAGTGTATTTAATAAGGAGCGTCGATCTTGAGCTTTAAACAATAGACAAAAAAAAAAAAAAAAAAAAAAAAAAAACTTTAGTGTTTGTGTAAGTATAGTGTTTAAATAGTGTACTAGTATAGTTTCAATTTAATATAACTTAATAATTAGGATAGGATAATGGTGTATATTGGATTTTGCAAAGGCTGGTAACTTCGAGGACGAAGTACCTGGGGATCTAGCTCCTGTCGTGCTGATGACCAACACCTCTTGTATCGGTATTGCTAGGGTTAGGTACAATTACGGGTTACCCGATCGTGACTAGGCAACGACAATGGCATAATCGTTGATGCATAAATTTAATTTATAGTCTATTTGTAAGTACTGCATAATGTGTGTAACTGGGTAATTAAGTACCCGTATTGATAATCTAATAAAAGCGTATCGATTCCAAAGGAATCGATAATAAGTTTTTAGCTTAGTGAAAAACGTTCTAAAGGAAAAACTGTGTAGTCAACATCGTAGTCTATTGGTGGAAGTATCTGTAACGATACTCCAGCCTGTGTGAAAAGCCAAGCGAGTTGAATTGGAAGGCCAAAAAAACAAAGACCCGTATAACTGCAATTCTCCGTGACACTACCATACATGTACTATTGTTAATTGTTATGTAGCATCAATAATGGTATCGTTAATAATAAAATCACGCTGATATTAAGATTGATAATATAACAATAACGGCAATACTAATACTTTTCTATTCATTAATATTAAGAGTAAATTTATAATTCGCTATGATGTAAATTTGATTTTTTTTAATTAACGGTTGGTTATAATTGTAACTCAACACAAAATATGGATGAAGAGCAAAATGATATCGCGCCTTCTTTTGCAGAACTAGAAATGAAAGAATATGATGAAACGAATGATATTATCTCTCAAAATGTTCAAGAATTATGGGAATTCTGGCAAAAAAAAGAATGTACCTATAGAAAAACTAAAACTAAAAAAAAAACTTGTTATAAAAAAATAGGATTTTATTATTTTTTTAAAAGGCAAGAAGAATGTCGCGATATGTCTCATAATAATTTAGATACCTGGATCATGGGACAACTCACGTCATTTGCATATAATAAACTACAAGAATCTAATAATTCTATAACAGACAATCGCATTAAATATCAATATCGTTATGATGCCCAACACACCGTGTGTATATCCACTTATCTGAAATTAATTGAAATTTCTTCATGTTGACTTGACCGAATCAAATCGCATATTAAAAATAATGGAATAGTAGAGATAATTCATGGTAATACAGGACGTACTTCGATTCGATCTGATCGTGCTATAATCAATAACAATATAAAACAAGATATTAATAATTATCTTCATAACTATGCAAATATTTATAGATTTCCGTCTCCAGGTTGAAATATGAAAAATAATATCATGCCTATTATTTCTCTTCCAATAGATATAACATATACTAGTGTATATAAAGCCTATATTTCTACTATCAAGTCCAATAAAGAAGATAATTATAAACCTATAGCTTATACAATATTTACTCAAATTTGGCATGAAGTTGCACCTGATATTCGATTTATAACTAAAGCATCGGATTTATATGATAGATGTGAGCAGCTTTGTGTTAAAATTCGAGTTGCTAAGGATATTGAAAGCAAACAAAAATATCAAGGTGAATATGATCTTCATTGAGCAGCTGCAACAATCGAGCGTCAACACTATAATGAAAGTATTGATATGAGTAGGAACCTAGAATTAAATATTGCACATATTTGTTATGATTAGGCTCAAAATGTACCAATTCCTTATTCACCACAACAACCTGGAGGTTTATTTTTTAAATTGCATTTAATGTTCATGTTTTTGGAGTTACAAATACCTGTTTAGAACCTGCGATACAAAGGAATTATATAATTGGTAAACATCAATTACTAATGAAAACACCTAAAGGTGCTAATACGACTCTGAATCTTGTATACAACAGTTTACTTAATTGGAATTTCACGCAAAAACACTTAAAAGTCACATGTGATAATTGTAGTGGCCAAAATAAGAATAATCTCACTCTCTGGTTTTATTCATGGCTTACTATAATTAAACGCTTTGATACAATTGAACTTAATTTTATGATTCCTGGTCATACTAAGTTCATTTGTGATGCATATTTCGGAAAAATTAAGTCTTTATATCGTAGATACAATGTTATGAGTATGGATCATGTTGAAGCTGTTGTTAATGAGTCGACTAAAGAAGGAAGCAATATAGCAATTCGATATGATTTAAAAAATCAAACGGGATGGAATTATTATAATTTGAAATATTTCTTGAACCTCATTTTGTTAAGTATGATGGCATTCGGGCATTTTAGCATTTTTACTTTTATAGTGATAAACCTGGAAAAGTATTTATGTCACTAGAATCTAATGGTCAGAAAGTGGAAGCCACGATTCAAAATAATATTTATTTTGACCCTTACCAACCATTAAATACAATTCTTTTAAAACCTTTATCTTTGAAACATCAGAAGCAATTATATAAGGATATTCATCCATATGTGCATGATCCTTATAAAGATGAATTATGCTTCACTCCACATGAGTAAAAATTTATCTCAAATAAAGACATTAATTAATTATTATTATAAAACAATTATATCATCCCTGCATAATATTACATATGATTTCATTATTATGCTAACTGTAAATCTAAATTTAGAATGGAAATATCGACATCGATAAAAAACTGTGCAAAGTATTAAACCAAATTATAATATGGTAATACATAATAAAATTTTTTTGCATAGATAAAACACGCATTTAGGAATATAATCCAGTAAAAATCACAATTTCGGTTAGAACTTCTCTAAGCATGGTTTTGTTGTGAACTCACCCATATTATGATTATAAAGTGACCCTACATGTGGAAAATGTGCATCTTGCGACGAAGATAATATGAATAAAGCATGGTGCCAAACATGTGATCCTGACATAGAAACAAGATGGGCAAGTGGAAGCAAGGATATTGATGATTGCATAAAAAAGTTCCAACTTAGGACCTGGGCATATGATAATATAATCGAATGAATTCCATTTAATAAATTATCTGATGTTAAAGAAATTGGTAAAGGAGGATTCAGTTCTGTATATTCAGCAACCTGGTTGGATGGTGTAAGAGAAATTGAAAACATTAAAATTTGATGATGGCAACAACAGATATTCCTATCAAAGATTAAGAGAACCAAATAGTATCGTTGCACTTAAAACCTTGTCTAGCTCCATAAAAGAAGTAAGTTAAATAACATTTGATAAATATATAATGAGCGTTAAATTTATTATTTAATAATTTACTAAATTTCATTTAATTGATTACAAGTTTGAAAATCATATGAGATGTAGTCGGGAAGGTAGTAGACTTAAAATATACGGATTAACTCAAAACATCAAAAATGAATGCTTGATGGTCTTTCAATACGCTGATAATGGAAGTCTTCACAAGTTTTTAAGAGATAAACTAAATTAACACTACTTCTCGATATATCTAACGACTTAGCATATATTCACGAGGCAGGGTATATTCATGCAGACTTTCACAGCGGTAATATTTTACAAAATAAAGGCATCAGCAAAACTCTGCAATCATACATTTCAGACCTAGGATTGTCCAAAAAAGAAGATGAAATGATTCTAAGGATGACATTTATGGAGTTATTCCTTATATAGCACCGGAAGTTTTATTAGGTCAAAAGTTTACAAGTGCTGCAGATATTTATGGCTTTGGAGTCATTATGTCGGAGATGTCAACTGGTCAAAGACCTTTTGATGGTTATAAATTCGATGATGAACTTGCAATAAAAATTTGTAGCGGATTGCGGCCCAAAATTGCTCCTGGATCTCTGGACTGCTATATTGAATTGGCTAAAGAATGCATAGATGCTGATCCAAAAAAACAGCCTAATGCTGGAAGTGTTTATAACAAAATTAATGAGTGGGATAAAATCATGAAAAGTTCAGAGGATAATGAAATTAAAAGGCAATTTTTAGAGGCAGATAAAATAGCAAAAGAATTTCGAATTGTTTTACCAAAACATCCTGACATTATGTATACTAGCAAAATTATAAATACACAAAGAATATCAAATGCTGTTAATGCTATTAAAGGTATTTTAACTATTTAATTATGTAATAAGTGATTTATCTATTTAAGATTAATTGTTTTGTAATAATTACAGAAACTTTACCAAGTGATTATATCAATTCTGTTGAAATTCCTATTGGTAAATATTAAATTTGACTTAATATTTATATTTAATCAAATTTATTACTTACTTTATATATATATCAAACTTTAGATTATTGAATTATTTTTAATGTTAGATTATTGAATTATTTTTAATGTATACTGTTTTTACTGTAGATAAGTATTATCCTCTTTATTCTATTTTTTAAATATCAAATTAGTAAAAATAAATTAGCTAATAATAGAAAATAGTGCTTATTTATAGTAGAATACTGTATATTTATTTTGCAACAATGTTATAATACATTTTGTTTTTTAACACTATATATAGTATATTTATTAAGATTATTATTATTAAAACAAGGAATAATGCATTTGTCGCCCCGTTACATTAAATTTTGTCACAGGTCACATGATACCCGTATATCATAACAAAAATGTACATACATACATACAGTACCAAT